GCAGCCAATAATCTGCATTCTAAGAAGCGTCATGTATTTTGCTTGACTTTCATTTTTCAAAGCAGCAGTACCATCTCTAAAATAAAACTGTCCACAACATCCCAGAGAAGAGAATTGTTCAGGAGGCTGCTGCAGTTGAACAAAGTCATGATGAGGCAGGTTTGGGTTTGGCAGGTGGCCAGTGCCAGAGGTTCGGGGAGCTTCCCTAAAACCCACACCCGGCTGCCCCAGGGGCCCAGACGTCGGTGTGCTCTCTGTCCCCCATGTCCCCTGTACTGCCTGTCCCCTTCCTGTTCTCTCGCCACCCCAAGGGCTGACCTGGTGAAGGCCTCATCTCACCAAAATACATACATTTATCCAGTTAATCATAGAAGAAATGTAGAACACGTTAGGTGGACATAAGGTGAACTAATTTTTTTTTAACATTTGCTGGGAGCACGTGACGAGGTTGGGATAAGAGAATAAATTGTGTGGTGCGTCCCCATCCATGCCTCCCCTGGAGAATGGGAATGGGTGACTGACCACAGATGTCTATGTGAGTCAGTCCCTCCCTTCTCTGTGTCTGGGGGCAGCGGTGAGAGAGGCCAGACTTCTGGCTCGGTGTCAGCAAAGGCCCGCTGGGTGCAAGCAAGGCCTGGCCACCGTCAGAGGCTGGAGGTGGAATCCACGGGCTCCCAGGATTCCTAAGGCCACCTGGGCATATGGGGAGCCCAGCATCCTTCGGGGAGAGTCCACTCATGTCTAGATGAGTGTGTGGGGCTTCGTGAGCCGGGATCCATGCTGGGGGTGCCCTGGGCATTTCCTGATCCAACCATCGCTTCATCCATGTGTTCACTTTTAACTCTCCTGTTCATCACTCGAACTTACATTCATTTTTTTCTCCCCTTCCTCATTCTCCAAAGGATTTAAGATAGTCATACCAGCCCCTACCACAGGTCTGGCTCACAGGGTTTCTGAAATACATTGTTTCTGCCTGGAACAGCTTTTTCATGGTTTTTGTTGTTGCTGCTGTTGTTCTTCAAAGTCTGTTTTTCTAACAAGGCCTAGACCCAGTTGCATCTCTTCCCCTGAAAGCCCCACAGTCACACCACCGACGATGTCCCCTCCTTTGGCTCACTTCCCGTACTTGTGCTTCGAATCATGTTACGTCCCTATGTCACTATACTTTGTTGCAGCACACCCCATCCCTCCAACTAACTGTCAGTCCTTTGGGGATGGGGAATCCGCATAGGAATTTTTAATACCTATTGAGGTCCTAAGGACATAGGAAGCCCTCAGTAACAGGAGCTGCATTTTAGAGAGACAGGCCTCTCCCCGGCCAAGTGGTTCTTGACAAAGCACTCTGACCGGTAATGAACTCGGAGTGTCTCAGGAACACCCACTGGAGCATGAACAGTTTAAATTACAAGGTCAGCTAGGAGGAAGACAGTAGATAAAATTTGAAAAGCCATAAAGTAGCAATTTACGTCTGTCCTCCCCCCAGACCAAACGGATACATTATAACACAGTGACAAATTAATGCTGGCGTCTGCTGAGGAGCGAGTCCTGCACAGATACACTGTGCCCCGCCCAGGCCCATTTGCCGTTACTGTCAGCTGTGCTGGGAGTGTGCAGGTTCCTCTTTTAATACGGAACTGCTGGCTGAAGGAAACCACCGCCAGGATCTAGAACTTGACCCCAAGACGCTTCTCCATTAAAGAGATCGAGTGACCTAGTCCAAGGAAATGAGAAATCCATGCCACAACCACAGTTCTCCTCTGGCTGCCATTCTGTGGGGAGCAGAGCAGAATGGGGGAAAGGGGGCCGTTCTGGGAGTTTAAAATGGGGCCTTTAAGATGCCGATGTACAGAAGAAGGAAGTTAGCTTCCAACACAGTCTTGGCCTGATTTGATGTTTCCTTGACCACTTCACAGTATTCCCTTGGTCCCTCTATCTTAATATTGCTAGGCCTGATTCGGGGGTATTTACTTGTTTGCTTCTATTATTTTATACTCTTCCTCTTTATTTTATGCTCATATCCTCCTTTTAATCTCCTCTCTCTATCCCCCAAGTTTAAAAAATATTTTTCAATTAAAAAGTATTTTTTTATTTGAAATGCTCCAAGTGGAGCTTTTTCTAGTGAGAGGAAGATTGGGTTTCCACGCAGGGGACCAGACCAGGCTTCTTCCTCAGCGGTTGCTCCGGGGAGCTCCTGTCCTTGGAACCTGTCTGCCTCGGCCCAGTATTGTGACAGGGTCACATAAGGCAATGCCTTCCCCGTGTCCCTGCAAGTCCTGGAAAGAAAACCACATGGAAGGTGGTCAGTAGCTGCAATGCTTAATCGGTATTCATTATAGCCTTGAACCAGTTCACAGGATCATCCATGCCCAGTGCCCAACACAGTGTTTAAAATCAGCTTTTCGTTTCTCTTCCTTTTTCTATTTCCCAGCACCCACCACTATGTGGCAGGCACTGGCCTAAGGATGCAGAGACGAACAAACGGCCTCACTGCTCTGGTGGATCTGTTACAAAGTCAGAAGGAAATGTGACCTGTGACCTTCCATGAGGGTTCCAGTTTCTGCCCCACCATCCTCTCCGTGTGGGAAACATCCTCCTTCTTGGGCGTGGGGATGCAGGAGGGAAGGAGGGCAAGAGGAATTGCCTACTATTTTATCCAGGCTTAATGACCCCTGAGCGGGCATCGTTTGTCAAGCACGTGTGGGAAGCAGGCAACATCAGGGGAGGGTCAGCGGCTCAGGCAGCTGAGGAGTGTGAATCCCAGGGGGACTGGCTCAAGGATGACACAGATGCCTGTGCCCCCCTGTGCTTCCTTCCTGTGCCTCCCACAGCCCTGGACTGTCCTGCCCTGTGAGCGTCAGGCTCTGGGAGGACCAAGGACCAAGGACTTGCTGTCTTCTTTACACATCACCCACTGCTTTGAACACTTATGGAAAAATTACTTCCATGGAATTGTTAGCTACTTTACATTCATTGTCTTACATTTAATTTTCACAAACCTACCATGGAGATGCTTTTGTTACTTTCATTTTAGGGGTGAGGAAACCGGACTCAAAAAAGTCTAGTAAACTTGGCCAGGGTCACAAGGCTGTTACATGTCAGCACCAAGACTGGAACCTGGGCCTAAAGTTACCATATTTTTGTTGTTGTTGTTATTGTTTTTACCCAATATGCTACCCTGCCCCTCTCTGGAATTCTGTACTAGGAAGCCAAGCAAAGAAAAGGAACTCATCAGCACTGGGAGAACTAAGAAAAACCCTCTGGGCACATCTGCACCCCAGCCTTTCCTCTTTCAACTCAATTCAACCAGCAGCAGGCAGCCAGGCTCTGGGGTGGGCTCTATAGGACAATAGATTGAGAAAGAGTCTGTCTTTTAAAAATTCAAGACTTTTAAGTGCTCTACAGAACACAGCCTTGTGAATCACTATCTGCTTGTGTTACCACCTGTATTCATTCATTCACTCAGTCACTCATTTATTCATCCAACATGTGAATAAATTTCCCTGGTTCAATAGCACCAGTTTAAGGGAGGCAGTTCCTGAATCCATGCCTACCATGGGTAGGGGACAGATAAGTGATCCAATACTTCCAATATTAAATCTCTTTTCCATGTGCTTTTTTCCTAATCATTCAAAGAAAACCGGTCAACAAATGATTTGTATTACCTTTAACGGACAATGAAATAGATTTCTTTTACTCTAATGGGTAATAAGTCAAAAATTAATCCAACAGGATAACACGGGATCCATTGGACACATTGTTTTAGAATCCAAGCATTCTGTATTATCACTTTCTATCTTTAAGTGTGTAAAAACTGTTGTTCCCTACTCCAATGAAGACATTTGAAAACCCAAATTCACAGTATGCAAGGTATGCAGGATTTTATTAGTTAGCATGGCAAAATAAATTCCCTTCACAAAAGAATTCATTGTCCCTTAAAAGGGCATAATAGAGAATGCAAATTACTAGCTGCCTAATAAAGAAGTCTGTGGGCAGAGAAACTTGAGTGGGTGTCTACAGGCCCGTGAAGACCCTGGAAGTACAATGAAGGTAATCAAATCAGAACGATGTGGCTTGAATTCCAAAACTGGGACTCCTGGACAGCTTTTCGGAGCGAGCCACTGGACAGAGCCAGGACTGGAACTCCTCAGTTGTTATCCTGGAGGCTGCTAGGCTTTGCGCAAAGAACGCGGAGGAAGGGGAGGGATAACTGGGACCCGCCCGGACTTTCCCCTCCTCCCTGACTTCCTTTACTCCTGTATTCCGAGGCTTTGTGAAAGAAAATACGTTTTTGGTTAAAGTTTTGTATTAGCAAATAAAGTTCTGTCTTCTTTCTTTTAAGCCACAAGGTTACAGCATGTGAAACCGACAATTTTGCTGTCTTTGTAAGTCGGGTTACACCGTCCTTCGCATGAGTACGCCCAGGGGGCTGCACTCCTCAACCCTCTAAGTTGCAAGGCCGCACTAGGGGAGGAACTGTAGTAGGATGAATGCGGGACGGGGCTCGGCTTGACCCTCTCGCCTTCCAGCGGCGGGGCCCCGGAAGCTGCAGAACACAGGCACAGCGCCCCCGAACGGTTGTTCCCGAGAGCTTCTTCCCGGGTCCAAACACCCCACGCCGCGCCTCCTGGGCCACGCGGGCTCCGCAGGGCTCCACGCGCAGCCTTAATCGGGTCAAAACTTCGACCAGCGGCCCCGGTCCCGAGAAGGCCCTGCCTTCCCGCCACTTTTAGAGAGACAGGATGCCGCACCCGGAAAGCGGTCAGTGCACTCGCCACCGCCGCCTTCAGCGCGGGTCCCGAGCTAGTCAGGGGTCCAGGACGGCCGCCGGGTTGGCTCCCGCCCGCGCCGGAAGTCCGCGCGTGCGCGCTGGCCGACCGGGGCGCGCGTCCGGCGCGGAGGAGCGGCGGGGGCGGGGCCGCTCGCAGGGTGTCCCCACCCCCCCCCCCCCCCCCCCCGGCGTTCCACGGTCGCCGTGACAACCGGAGCAACGGCGGCGGGCGCGCGGGTCCCGCGCCGCCTCCCGGCCGCAGCCCCAGGCCGGCAGCCGCCGCCCGGCCTTGCAGTTTTCCCCGCCTCCTGGCCCGCGGGGAGGGACAGACCCGCCCTCCGCCGAGAGTGAGCGGCGCCCCGGCCGCCGTCCGGGCGCGCGCAGCCAGCGGGCGCGACTATGCCAAGATGGTCCTGCAGGCGCGGAACAAGCACCGCGACGCGGCCCCCAAGCCGCCCCGCGCCTCGCCATCGCCGCTGAGGGGGGCGCTGGGCGCCGGGGACCCGGGGCCCGAGCGCGTGCCCCCGTCTCCCGGCCGCAAGGGCGCCGCGGGCAGGAAGGGGCCCCGCGCGGAGTCTGCCTCACTGCCCTCCGGGGGCGGCCTGGGGGGGCGCCTGGCGGCCGGGCTGCGCGGGGCGCTGGGCCTGCGGCGCGCGGGGCGCGGCCGAACCTGGACCACGCTCCTGTTAGGTGAGCAGCCCCATCGCGCGGGCGCCGCCGGACGCGGAACTTTGAGCTGCGGGTCCCCGTCCCCCGCTCCTCTCCAGCTTCCCTGCCGCCCAGCCCCGCCCCCGGTCCCCGCCAGTTTGCAGCCCTCTCCGACTTTTCTCGGGACGTCCTTATCTCCTCCTCCCCTTCCCTCGGCTTTCGCCCGACTCAGTCCGCCTGGCTCCCTTTCCACCCGCTTTCGGTCTCTGCTTTTAAAAAATGGCCCCGAGATCAACAGCTGCCCGGCCGGGCCGCGAACGGGCAGGTCTGCGCTAACCAGACTTGGGCACTGCCGTTTGGCGCGCACCGGCCGCCTCGCGGTAATCTTGGCCCCAGCCCCGGAGGGTGCTTTGCTTGGGGTTGGAAGCGATCCGTAGAGCCCAAAGCCAAAGCACCTTCCCTGTCCTAGAAAGTTGCTAAACTTATAATTAAATTTTAGCATCCTTGTTTCTTCTTGGCCGCAAACACTGCCGATGGCACTTTATTTGTGATTCCCCTCGGCAAGTCACTTTCCAGCGTGTTTTGGGCGCCGGAACCTTAATCCTCCCTGCTGACAGGGGAACGTTTGGTGTGGAGGTCTCCTCTCCTCCCGCCGCCCTGCACCAACCATAATGATGATGCGAAAGGAGGCGCCGAACACAATAAAGTTGAAACATTCCAGGTCGTGCACCGACCTCAGGTTTCCTTCGTTTTCTGATACACATTCTGATTAGGCAAGTTACAGCAGCTTGGATAATAAGCCTAATTTTTCTAAGTCAGCCAGTGAAATGCTCTAACACTGCCGTTCTTATATAATGCCATTGATGGGCTTTGACTACTGAATTATTTAACTGTTGGTGATTTATCTCTTAATAATCTTTCATACTCCTTAGTGACCCAAAAGAATCTGCAGTTCAGTATAGGCCGAGAAAGAGAACACAGCATATTAACTCCTCCTGAGACCACAGCCACCGTCTTAGAAGCCACTCAGTTATAAACACCCAGTCATAGCTCTGTGAGTGTGTGTGTGAATGTGAATGAATGGGCTCAGATTGATATTGTTATTGGGGTACTTTTTTTCCCATTGTAGAGTCGAGTGTAGAAAAATTCCGAATTTTAGTATGGTACGTTCTTCCTTTTTTTCAGTAGCAAGCTTGCAAAGCCTTACTGTGCAGGTAAGAGGTAAGTTCACCTTGGGGAGGCAGCATGGTATAGGGGATGAGACACACCAGTTTCCTTGACAGTGGTGAAGTTTGGTGTAAGTTTCAAGTTATTTCCCTTGTGAGCCTCTCCTTCTCTGTGACATGGGATTCTCACCTCCCTACTTTACGGGCATGTCCCGGGGAGCAGAACTACAGGGTGGGTAATAGACGGAAAGGCACTTTGTGTTTAAAGCATTAAACGCGTTTTAGTTGCAGCTATAAAGTCTTATGCATAATAAGTGCATTCTGGTGACAGGATGAAGCTGCATTTTTCTTGACTGGCCAGTGTGAGCATTAACAGTTTTCTAGTCACACATGGAATGGCGTCGCTTCATCCAGAAGGTTACAGTAACAAGTCAGGATAATAACCTTTGCCATTTTCACTTGTGCCTGTTTTCTTGTAATTGTATTTCCTTTGACTCTTTTTATACTGGGTAGTTTAAACTTGGATTTAGGGATGCCTGTACTTAAATACAGTTGTATTACTGTAACAGTGTGGCACTTACTGGACTCACGCCTTTGGCTAGTGGAAGACAGTACAGCAAAGGAACTGTCCCATGCTCTTGGGTGTACGCTGGCTGCTGGCCAGCAGGTATGTGGAGGTTAGATGACCAGATCAAGATCCAGAGACTTTCTGTCCTTGCTGACCATCCACCTAAGGCCACAGGACAGTTTGGGAGATGGTTGTGGAGAATGATGGGATCTGGGATGTTCGGTTCTTTCTCTGGCCCTTTACCCTCGGATCCTGCAGAGGAGCAGAGTGTGGACATTTTGAAAGCCGCCTCATTTCCTGTCTTCTTCCCTCTCTGTGAGAGCTGGGCCCAAGAGGGGTCTTTAGTTGGGAACTTTGCTGTGACAGAATGGCTTCAGCTACTATGTTCAGTAAGGTGTTCAAGAAGAAGTGTTAAAACACAATGCTCCTTGATGCAAGCACACGGCCTAAGAATTAGAAACTGACGAGGATCCCTACCCAGCCTGGTACTTCATTGGTGCTCAGCCCTGGTGAGGAGCTCATTGGCTACCTAGGGGGCCCTTTCCACCCTAGTGCAGTGTTAAACACTTTAAAATCCATTGTAATAAACATATGCCTCTTCTATCTGGGGACATGATTTACAATTTACTTGATGCTAACAGTTTTCAAGTCTCCGCCCAGGAGCTCCCGGGGTCATCTGGGAGAGGCCGTGGTGCGGTCCGAAGGACCGACCACAACCCACAGCAAACAGTACGGTTCACACCAAAGTCTGCTCACACTCCTGAAATGCAGCCCTGTGCACACCTGGCAGTGTTTGTTTTTGTATGTCAGTGTCCTGGCAGGAAGCATTTGATAAAGACGACTGTTTTCAGGACTGTGAGCGAGCTTAAGGAATTCGTAGAGGGTCCTGAAGGGGAAGGGGAACGTCCTCAGGAGCTGAACCCCAGATCTGGGCCTAGGAGCAGGGCGACCGAGAAGAGTGGGCCCCAGGGATGCGATCTGTAGTGTAGGGTCAGCCTCCTGGGCTGAGAACAAAGCAGAGGAGGGCAGAGAATGCACTTGGAGAGGCAGCCGAGACTCACCACGTGTGTGCGTACATTTAACCAAAGCAGCAGTGTCATGTGAGAATACCAGCCCCCATAGTCTGCACTGCATTGATTTTTGTCTGCCCTTTTTAAAAGCGCTGTGTATAAGCCATCACGCTGATTTCATGATCTGCTGTGACAACCCATACTTCGCAAACACGGCCTTAGGAGAAGCTCGTTCCAACTTTATCTGTTTCAAACCTGCCAGGTGCCTGAACAGAGCATGAGCTTCTCTGAGCCTCAGTTCGCACACACGTGAAAATGGGAGACCTGGACTAGACTGGTGGTGCTCAGTCTTGGCTGTGTATTTGAGTCACCTGGAAACTTGAAACAGCCAGCTCACTTGGCCAATGACATTGGAGTCTGGGGTTGGAGTGGACTGGGGGAAGCGTGGGTAGTTTTGAAGTCTGACGTCCTGCCTCTCCCCAGAAGCGGACCATCTGGCATCCTTGAGCCGACCCTCCTCTGCAGCAATCCCCTCGGAACTGAGTGAATCTTCGCCCCCCCCTTTCAGTTTGCGCCCACGGTCCAGTTTACAGAAGTTTCTCCTAGCCTCTGTTGTGTGCTGAAACAGGCTCTGAGTTGCCATTTATCATCTGTGGCTGTTATTTTAATTAGAGTTGGGAGAAGAGTGATCCTTCTTGTGCCTGTGTCCCTTATCACATGTGGAGAGACAAAAGGGTAGCTGGAGAGGGCTCAAGAAATAATGGAAAGGGTGCTCTCCCTTGCGGAAGTGAAGAGTGTACAAGTTAAATGTGCAAAACAAAGCTTGCCGGCAGTGAAAGACTGTCAGGAAATATGTCGTTTAAAACACAAGCACCATGCAAAATGCAGCCTGAATAGGTGGTAAGAATTACAGTTTATCCCCTTCTGCGGGTGCTGCAGGACTCATTCTCATCACCTGCCTGACTCCTGCGGTCTACTGCACCTGCACCTCTGCTCTTAGCTGGTTCTATACTGTTTGGGCTTCACAATCTCAGCGCCAGGACGTTTGGGGCCGAATAATTCTTTCTTTGGGAAGGGGCACTGTCCTGTAAATCAGGGGATGTGTAGCAGCCATCCTTGGCCTCCACCTGTCAGAAACCTAGCCCCTCCCCAGTTGTGACAACCCAGATGTTTCCAGATACTGGTAAATGTCCCTTGGGAGGTGAAACTGCCACATTTAGGCATACTGCTTTTATCATCCGCAACTTGGGAGAGCCTGGAAGCCCATGTCCTTGGAAAGATGGGTGACTTGCAAGGGGCAGAAGGGGGAGGAAGCTGCATGGGGCAGCAGGTTGAGTCTAGGTGTTGGGAACTGGGACAGATGGGAGACAGCCAGGCATCTCAGTACTGACCCAAATCTCGATCCTGTTGCTACACTTAAAAGATACAGATCTCCTAACATTTCTTTTTGTTGCCTCATCTTTAAAACAGTGATAATAAGTGTTTCGCCTGGCTATGGTAAAGAATAAATAAAATGTGAATCATTTTATTAAATAATAAAATGTGAATGTAAATAAAATGTAGCCTCATTCACACCCACCAGTCGTCAAATGCCTGCTGGGCCAGGTGCCGTTTGCTGGGGGGGGTACTACCATGGAGAACAGGACAGCTGTCACTCCTGCCTCTGGGAAGCCTCCATCTGGAGTGGGGGCAAATAAATAAAAGTAAAATGCACATTGCAGGAAATGCAGTGGAGCAAACAAGTGGCAGAGATAGAAAAAACAGGAAATACCCCCTTTAAGTAGGGCAAGAAGGCTTCTGGGGGGCTTCTAGGGAATAGAAGGCTTCTATTCCAGCTGAGATCCAGTGGAACAGAAGATTCGGGCTGTGAAGTGGACAGCACGTGCTGCAGCACAAACCCCGCCTCCTTGAGGAACTGGTGTTCTTCCCAACGCTAAGGGGGCTGCTGAGGGGAGGGGCCGAGGTTTATGTTAATGAGATAGATTATCTCAGGGACTGTAAACCCTTGCGCACATGGCCAGGTGGGGTAGTTTTTGACTTTATTATTTAGGTGCTTGATTCTCAATTGTTTTGCTCGTTCATCTTTTGCCATCAGATGGTACTTCACCCAAACCATTAGAACGCGACTCTTCCGGGGAAGACTTTATGTTAGTTTTCTTTAGTTACCATTTTAACCATGACTAGTCATCCATGTTAGCAAAAATTACAACTCTTTCTAGGTCAGCACCATTGTGTGGATCTTTGATTCCATGCAGTCTCAGTCCATAGGGGCAATCAGTTCTGCGTGAATGACTTTTC